GTCTTCGTGGTATCGACTTTATCTTTTCCCTGTGTCATCAAATCACTAGTTTCCCTTTCGCTATAAAAATACAAATAGAACATGTAAACATGATTAGATATGTAAACAAAACATGTTTTATCTTTTGTAATAACACTAGTTAATCAGGAGTATCATGTGAACTCAAACTTAAGCAATTAAATAAATAAACCTTTACCTAACACCACACAACATATGTGTATGAGGTGATTAGGTGCACTGTACAAAATTTCAATTACTCATTAGAAACAAAGGAAATTGTCTGAAAATCAAGTAAACATGAAGAACAAATACCAAATTAGGAACCCATTCAAATGGAATATGTTTACAGTTAAGAACTGACACTGATAACAATAATAGAATTCTAATTCTATTGTTGCCAGTGTCAGATTGTATGATAATATGACACACTCATTGTTATTTATGAACCATATTGAATCAGTTCTTGAATTCAATGTCAAGTTTGTCATATATGCAAAATATTATATGTCTACTGAGGTAAAATACGCGCATATTGGAGATGAATCTTGTGGATGAAACATTTGAACATTTGATGTGTTCACACATCACATATAAATTAAAACACTAAATTCACTCATGAATACTAAAATTGATGTGTTTATATTTATAAAGTTATCATGATAACCTTCCTATTATTATGTGGGTCATTTGACAATCTCTGCGACAGTCTGGAAATATTTAGAGATTTTGCTGATTAATCATGTGATTTATAATTTCAATGTCACAAAGATTGGCGGTTACACTGTTATGTCTATGACAACTATCAGCAGATACAGCGTGCAGGCAAACGTGCATCTGTCATCTACTTGTTGGAAATTGATATATTCAGAGTAGAAATGTATGATCCAATCAACATCACAGTTAATATCTAATGAATGCAGAGAGAAAATCTAAACATTTCCAGACGGTTATGATGAGGGTTGAAGCATCCACAAACTATCAGGAAGGTAACCAGGATATTTTAAAGTCAAATATAGTGGAAGGTTTTATATTGATTTACCTGTATTGCTTTTAGTAGTAATAGTTTAGCTTCTTTGTAGAAATCAGTTTTCGTACCAGCTGACCTTATGTTGGAATCAATATACTGTAATGGTGTCTTACCGTGACGCTGTAATATAAGATGTAGAAATAAACAGGTAATAAATGTACATTTTAAGAATTATGATATGATATGAAATGAATTGTATTTAGTGCAATGGCCTCAAGCCTATGATACGATAAATCAAAAATAGAAAAAGGAAGGAATCCTTTAAATAATTGTTGAATCTACTAGTCATAACTGGTTAAGTAGATTTTCTCTATGTTTAGAAGCATAGAATATAAATTTTGAAATTTGAAGTACAGATAAGTTGTTAAACTGCATTAAACGAAGAAATTTTCCGTTAGTCCGATTTGACTGATAACATATTTCTTTCCAAGATTTTCGTAACGTGGACATACAAGGCAAAAATGGTATTCAATCCTCAACCAACCCTAAATTACATAATTTACAGATTCTCATATTTCTCGGTTTAATTTACGATCAGATTCAACCCAAGGTTGTGAGATGACGTTCTAAGCTGGCATAGCGCAGAGCGTAACTTGTTATCCTTTATTAAATGCAAATATTGTTCACATCCAAAATCGATCTTAAAATCTCTGTATTTATCAAGTTTAGGATAGTTGTTGAGATCTGTAAACCAAGTTTGTTTATACATATCATGGACTCTTTGGGTGAATAGAGACAAAAAGGAACAATTATCTTCCACGCCCTGGTTTAACCAAACAAAACCAAAACCGTGCAAAAATAGTAGTTCTTTGAGTTGGAAAGACCAACATTTACGGTTGTTTTCCGCTTCTTTATACTGGAAATGAACATTAGTAAACATAACCCCAAAACCCCAAACTTCACTGCCGTACATCAATATTGGTAAAATTTTACAGTCAAAAATCTTTATATAAATTTGTACATTAATATAATTAAGAATTATTAACTCTCTGTTGAATGTTCAAGTGGTAAAATTAATACACGTGTTTATAAATTACCATGTACTATGGATCTAATTATTGGACAATTCAAGTGATGATATTTAACAATACAAGACTGTAATTGTATTAAGTGTAAAATAATGCATGCATGTAAATAACACAATGGTAAATCAATTAAGACAAAACTTACATCGACGTTGTCCAAGGGTATATTAGTATCTAAAAGCAACTTCATGACATTTATTGCAGATAATTTCATGTCGTCATTAAATCCATACACGGTATTTGGATAGTAAAGCACCATGTTGAGAGCATTCTCTCCCCTCTGAAATAATAATATTTATATCACACTACATAAACCCTTGTCACTGATATTCATCTAACCTATATGTCAACGTCTGACACAAATAACACGTTTATCACAAAAAACGCTGATTGTCATAATACTAATTATAACCCTGAAAGAACAATTGTGTTTCCATTTTACTGTGGCCACATGGAAAAAATAATCAATAACTGCCTTCAGTTAATGTCTCTCCTTGGTTATTACAAATAACCAGTATGTAACTATTATGTGAACATAAAGTTCATCGTTCATGATGCACACTAAAGGGTTCTATGGATAACCAATCTGATGTCACTTTTATTGTAGACTTGCAGAGATATCCTTATATCCTCTTACTTGCACATATTGGTCATTTGACAGAAATAATTACTTTTTACCAAAAGTATTAAAGGGCACAATTCACAAATTATTCTCATTTATAATCAATTACATCTGAGGAATTAAGCACCTGTTTAGATGATAGTTGTATATTTATTTAAATGTAACACAACTTGATTAGAATCATTGCAGTGGAATTTTAAAAATTATATAAACATCATATCTGTTGAATGATCTACTCAATAATTCAATATTTGCACACACATTGACGTCCCTAATATTCAATCTTACAATGTGATAATTATGTATGTGCTTGCTTAGATAACTGATTACTGTATTTGCAGTGTAGTGTGCTGATGACACCCTGTGTAATTTCACCAAAGTGTACTCCCTAGGTTTAACATATTAGATAACTGATTACTGTATTTGCCCTGTAGTGTGCTGATAACACCCTGTGTAATTTCACCAAAGTGGACTCCCTAGGTTTAGCATATTAGATAACTGATTACTGTATTTGCAGTGTAGTGTGCTGATAACACCCTGTGTAATTTCACCAAAGTGGACTCCCTAGGTTTAGCATATTAGATAATTGATTACTGAATTTGCAGTGCAGTGGATTGATGATGTGGTGAGTCAGAATTGTAAGTTCTGTTAAAGATGAAATTGTAAATCTGAGCTGGAAAATATTTCAGTTCCAAATGACTAAAAAGCCTGGCTTATTTCTGATGACTTGAAGAGCCTCACATATAGCCATGCTATGATCATAATTAGAACTCACTTTATCTTGAAATTTGTCTGTATATGCCATAAGTGCCTGGCATACTGTTATATTCTTGAAGGAAATAAAAAAAGCTTTTCATCAGTGAATAACAAGTGATTGTCTGAACCCATACTGTTAGGGAATAATATCTAGTCATCAACTCATCCAGCAAATATAAGCAAAGTTGTCATGCTGTATTGTGTTTAATATGGGCCCCAATGCGTTCATGTTGATGTATCTATTGGTATACTGTCTTTGTACAAAATTTAAACATAAATGTTCATTGCATTCATGGGAAAGTAGGCATGGGTATCATGAAAAACAAAATGACCACCAGTCAGCCATATTAGTTTGAATCATAGAAAAAATATGACATGCAACTATAACCCAATATGTATGATCTTCATACCAACTTTGATCCAAATTGGCCTAGTCATCACTGAGAAACAGCTCCGGACATGTAAAAATGACGATTTATAGTGCTTTTAAATAAAAATTGGGTGTCAGCCAGCCATATCTAATTGAATCAAAAAAATAATGTTGGTGCAGATGTATGTCTTGGCATACTATCTTTGTACAAAATTTAAAGAGAAACATTCATTGCATTCAAAAGAAAGTAGCATGGGTACCATGAACAACAAAATGGCTGCCAGTCGGCCATATTTGTTCGAATCACAGAAAAAAATATGACGTGCACCTATAACCCAATATGTATGATCACCTTACCAACTTTGATCCAAATCTGCCTAGAAACAGCTTTGGACATGTAAAAATGACGATTTAGCACTTTTACATGAAATTTGGGCGTCAGTCAGCCATGTTGAATCGAATCACAAAAATAATGATGGTGTAGTTGGCCAGCCAGTCGGCCATATTTGTTTGAATCATGGAAAAAGTATGACGTGCACCTATAACCAAATATGTATGATCATCATACCAAGTTTGATCCAAATCGGCCCAGTCATCTCTGAGAAACAGCTCCGGACATGTAAAAATGACGATTTAGCGCTTTTACATGAAAATTGGGTGTCGGCCAGCCATATTGAATTGAATCACAAAATCATGTTGGTGCAGATCGCCAGTCAGCCATTTTTGCTCCGATCATAAAGTAACTTGACGCGCATATGTAAGACATTATGTATTGTCTTCATGTAAAGTTTGAATGAAATCTATCTATGGATGTTTGAATGAAATCTGTCAATGGATGTCCGAGATATAACTCCGGACGTACGGATGGATGGATGGATGGACGGACGAAACGAACCCAATTTAATAACAATAACAAGTG